TTTAGTTTATAGCTTTTGTAGTTTATTTGCTCTAATTTTATATTAGTTATATCTTATAGGTCCTTATTTTTTTGTGTGTAAAAATTAACTAATATAGCTCCTATTAAATTTTCTAAATCTTAAAAACACTCATCATTTACCATATACTCTTATCAGTTTTTTCTTTTGGTATGATTACAATAATAAATATTATATTAAACCATAATATTATCAACAAATTATAACTTAATACCCATCACTAATTTCATGAATGTATTTTATAAATACTCTACTAGAAAATTTAAATGATATTAACAACATTTATCTCGTTTATTCATTCATATTATTATAAAATAATAGATAAGTATAATAATTAATGCTTAGCTATAAAAAAGGTTAAGTTAATTATATTATTTTTAAATTTAATATTTACAAACATTCAAAATATATTTCATAATACACTATTTGTAGATTATCTATACCAAATTTAAACTAAATGAAACAAGTTTTTTTTTTAAAGAATGCTAAACAATATATTATATTGTATAATATTATATTATATTATATTTCTGAAGAATGTATGGCATATTTAAAAACTCATTCCATTAAATTTCGTATTTAAAATTAAATTTAAATACAATAAGTTATATACATCCATTAATTTCAACAGAATAGAAAAATAATATATTATCAAAAAACACGATTTTAGCTTTGAGTATAGTTAAATTAAAACGTATATAAGTTATAAGCACTTTAAATATTAACATGTATACTAAATATAATAATATATTTGTGGTTTTGAGTACTTATTAATATAACAGTTTAAAACTAAATGTGTTATAAACTAATAAATTATAGTTATTCACTAATCCGTTCAAAAGAAAAAAATTAATATCTTACATTCTTTAAATACTGTGTATGTGTGTGCATACATTAACGTTTTCATTCAACTAAAAAAATATATTAATACTCTCGAATATAAATAAGCATTTACCTAACTACTTATCAAGTTAAAATATTATATTTTTAAAAAATAAGTTACATTTTAATTTAAATCATAAGGTAATTAAGTACAATCTCATAAGAAATTTATTAGAGTAGCAACAACATAATTTAAATTAATATATATATATTTTTTTTTTTTTTTTTAAAGCAATGACCAAATCTTATTTAATAGTAATTTAAATACCTATCGTTTATTTTTGAAATATTTATAAAAATAATAAAATAAAATACAACTCTTCTTAACCCTAGATCATAAGACTATCACTGAATTTTATAAAACTAAAAAAAAATTTTTTTCAAAAAAACTAAACCTAACTTTAGTTTCGACGTTTAAACCTAAAATAATGATACACAAGATAATATCATTATATCTAAATTTTTATATCAACAGCGAAGACAAACACTCCAAGACAATCAAATATCATTTTAATTTATAAAAAAAAAAGTCAGACATTAAATCAAATCTATTCTAAAAAATTTCATTTCCCACTGATTAATATAAAAATGTTAAGCAAAAGTTTGTTTTTTAAATGACTTTTCACATCAAAGTACTATAGTACCTGATTTAGTCTTACGAATCATGTCCCGTCGTGCTGGTGTACGGCGGAGTCGGCGTGACGTTCACGATTCGGTGTCCGGATGGAAACTGCGGCGGCCCTTTCAGGAAGGGGAGACGTGCTGGAAAAATCGGGACACGAAGGGGTAACAACTTTTGTATCCGGTGGTGACCGGGTTTCCCGCACGTAGCGCCCCCGTAGTACGCCCGCTATACACTCTCACCGACATTTTGTTTCCCTTCATCCTCTCTATTAAATGTTGTGCTCTATTGTACGAGATGGACGGTATAATGTATATATTATATTATATACCTACATTTTATATGTATATATACATGCAACTTACAAATTATCTTAAAGCGTTTGTCCCGTTTGTAACTTGATAACCTACTAATTAATATAATCAAAATATGATTTAGAGAGTTATGGTTTTAAAACGTAATATTCATACTATATAATATGTAATTCTATTAGGTACATTGATTATTTTTTTTTTTTTTTTTTGATACTCAAAATAAAAAAAAAAATGTTTTCAATGTTTTTTTTAAAAATCTGAGATGACCAATGTATACTATACATCTTACTTATCTATGTTAATTATAAAAATGTTATTAGTTATTTACATTAAGTGTTCAAAATGCTTACTAGTTTAAATAGCTATGTAAGTTTTAAAAGGACGTTATGTTATAATTATACCCGCATGCGTTCTCTCAATCTTCCAAACGAATAACATGAAAATATATCATTCAACAGAATCCATTTTACTCTGTTATTCTTAATAATAGAGAAAAACGAAATTACCTCCTGAGTATTGGACTTCTCTTAACAAACTCCCGAGTAAATATTAACTTATAACTTATAATTTAAAACTATTTAATTTAATGTGTGTATGTATAATCATTGTTCAATTTTAAGATAAAATACCTTACTTACAATTATTGTTCAATGCCGATTAGCATTAATTCTTTTATAAATAAATAAAATAATATGTTATGATATCTACTTAAAACATTATTTTAGTGCTCCACTTACAAAATTAAACCATTTTATGTCATAAAAAAAAAAAAAAAAAAATTTAATGTCAATTTCTGAATATACCAAAGGAATTAGTATTCATTCTTTCTTCCCGAGGACTGTGGAGATCCGATGAAAATTAAACTCCGTTAAGAAGGCGGCCACACTGCACAGTGTTAAACAATCATATATTTTTGTATTTTTAATTCAATATCTTCAACGTTGGTAACAAAATATTGGTAGGTAACATTACCTACATTTTAACTTGAACCACTTACCACACAAATACACGGTGCATTATGAAATCCCCTAAGGCTTAGGCCCTTATTAGTAATTATTTAGGTACCATTGTAGGTACCAATAAGGCAATAGGTAACTAAGAAACAACAATGATTGTAACAATAAACATCAGCTAAAAAATATTTAATATATTCTTATACGTTAATAAATTATACTCATTGATTAAACATCAATGTTATACTTTAAATTTTTATCATAATTTGTAAAATATATAGGCAGGTAGTAGGTAACTTTACTATATAGTGCATGTAATTATAATAACCTATTTTGGCACTGTGACTAGGTATGGCAATCCAAAGAAATCAATCGAAAAATCATTTATTTATTTTTTTACGTGACAAACAAAATTGGGGTACCTACCATTTTGGAAGTAAATTGACACAGTGAGGCTTAGGAGTGCCCAAAAAGCAAGTGACAAACAGTGTTATTTTTATTATGTTCTTTCACATTTTAAAATAATATACAATTATTAAGTATCAATATTCAGGTAAAAAATAAAAATTGTAAAACCATTGTTTTTAAAATATAATTGAATTTAGGTACCTTTTTTATTTTGAAACCGACGACGTTGTGGGTAACAGCTTTCGTATCACTTCCATGACGCCACCATAATTTAATAATCTAAAATTATGTAATAGTAATATACACACATTCATGTATAAATTCACATTCTCTCCTAAAGAAACCACTACAATAACATTTCAATTTAGTAATTTAGTAGTTAGATACCTATAGATTATAATATTTTAATTGTTAATCAGCTTAATATAATCAGATTTTTAATTGTCTAGTTGAAGGGGTGGAAGTAGTAAGTATTTAAGTATTCTAAGTTATATAATTATTTAGTTGCACCACAGCCTAATGCATACTACTAGGTAATCAGATAGAGATACCATTTTATCAAATGGCAAATACTAATATTATAGTATACACAAAAACAAAAAATACTTGCCTAAATATAATGGAAAATATTTTTAATACAAAAATAAAATAATGATAATATAAAATTAATTTCAAAATAAATTGTTGCTAAAATAATTAATCAAATTATCAAAAAAATATATATATTCATAGGTTTCCTAATAGTTCAGTAAGTAACAGCACCATCGTCAAAATATTACCTATGTCATCAACAATAAAATAAGAAACAGACAACTATTATCAAAATTTAGAATTATACAAAATTATTTATTCATTTTTATGTATAAACATCACAATTATTGTACATCATTATGTATGGAACTTTTCCCAATATAGGTGATTTCAATTTGCATAAGCATTTACATTTTAGTATATAAGGTATTCCAGTATTCGCCTTGCTTCACTCACTTTAAAGCATCTAATAATAGATATTATGCTGTATTTAAAATATTAAATTTGAGAGTGATGATAAATTAATAAACTGTAAAATCCAAAATGTAATTCTGCTGGGTAGAGTACGTACTTCAACCTAACATAAGTATTATCAAAATATTGACTATCCAAACTAAATATTTAAACATGCTTGTTAACATGCATCTATAATTAAATACAATATATAATATTTTTATAATTATTATTTATAAAAATTAATACATTAAATTAATGCATTACATTAAATTTACCTAAAATTGTATATCAAGTAACAGTTCTAAACTAAACAGACATCCAAATTATAATCGATTTTTTTAAATTTTTACCTGCTGAAAAGTGGGGATAGATCTTAAATAAAAAAAAATATTTAACTCAATAAAATGTGTATATATATATATATATTTAAGTACCTACTATACACTAAATCATCATAAATTACATAACCATGAAATAAGATAATTAAGTATGTATACATTTATTTAACTTTTATAATATCACAACATAATCAATAAAAATCATTAACCCATTAATGTAAGCAATTGCATATAAAACAATTTAATTTTTTTTATATTATTGACTTCAATATTTTTAAATAAAAAATGGAATAGTTTTAAACAATAAAAAAAAATTTGTTAATTGTTCAGGTGTTGAAATGTCATCTATAAAAAAATCTTAAATATAAACTATATTTAAAAACTAAGAGAATATAATGCTTTTCATTATATAATTATTAATCACATAATCAAACTATAAGCAACTAAATACAAATTAAATTTATACAACAAACTTGATTTTAATATTTATGTTGATCGTGAATACTTGTAATTGATTTAATTGTGGTAGAATAGACAGGAATAATTTACCATAGTTAAAACATATTGTTTAACTATTATAAAAAAATTAAATACTAATAATAATAAGATATTAATAGATGAGCTTAAAACAACTTAATAATTTTAATAATAATACAGTTTAAAATTCACGGTCTGGTAATACAATTGGTGCAACTAATGTCCAAACATAAAGCCCAGCACAGACCCAACAAGATAACATCTTAATCCATGTAGAAGCATAATCTGGATGAAGGTTTTCTAAGCTGGAGTTGGGTCTAATTAAAAAAAATATTTAGGTAATGTTAGGTCATGATATAATTAGAAAATTTATATATTACAAAAATATATTGTCTATACTTACGAGTACCAATTTGTGAGTGTCATCATTAAAAATAAAGTGGCCATTGCAAATGTGAAGTGATAGAATGACCATGAATATGCAACTCCTTCTTTTTCATCATCAAATAATTTACCAGAATTATCATCACTACCTGACACTGGACCTCCTTCAAGATCACTATCATTGCCTACTAAAATATTTAAGATAAAAAATATACAGTATATTATTAAAATATTAAACACTAATTAACACTCACTTCTTTCTGTAGAATTACTCATAGAGAATTTTGAGGATGATCCTGTTTTTATAGCAGAATATAATACAAATAAAATAAAAATTCCAATACTGACAAAATTTTCTGAACCAAAGTGTACTTTAGAACCATCTGAATTAGATAGACTCAGGATTTCTGCCAAGCTCTTATTACATTGAGTTTCTAAAATTCAAAACATATATAATGTTTATATTACAGTATACTTATGTATATTCAGATTTTTTTAAACAAAATATACCTGGACCACTATTGAGTGCTGACCAAGTAAGATACACCACATACAAGCTTACAATAGATGATTGCAATAAGCCAGATTTTTCATGCACACGTTGTACACATGAAGTAATTGAAATTGAGCTAATAACGAAGCATATTAAAACTGTTAATATGATAAAAAATTTGTTCAAGGAACATCCATTTTCCTAAAAAAATTATAATACTATTTTAAATATTATAAATCATGAGAATGAAAATGTACTAATCAAAATGTTTTTAAATAAATTTACAAATCGACACAATGTTAATACATGTATTGTTTGTTGAGTAATCAGCAATCACAAAACTATATCTACAAAATTTGTCAAACCAACACTCTTCAAAAAAATTTACTTGTATAAGAAAAAACCAGATTTGTAATTTTAAACTATTAAACAAAAGTTTCCAACATTTTAAAAATTTATGTTTTGTCCTCTTGAAAAATTAAAACACAATTTCATAAAAATGCATAAATTAATGTTATTTTTAATATTCATCATAGATATTTGGTTATTATATAATAAATGTAGATTGAGTATTGTTACAACTTAACTATAAAATTTCTAAAACTCATATGATAATTATTACTTAGAATAAATTTTCTTGTAAGTCTGTATTTAAGTAATGTTTAATAGCTTTAATAAACCAAACAGAAAATTCTCTTATTCTCTTAATATTAATAAATGTTCATATATTAACTTCATTATGTGCAAAACTTATAAATTATCAAGGTTTATTAAAATATTTCAAGTGAATTTAAAATTGCTAATTTGCATAAATTCCTTTACTGTGCTATCATTAGACCTATTCTTCAATATGGCTCTGTAGTTTAAGACCCTCACTGTACTAAATCAAAAAATTCCTTACTCCCCTCATGACTATTTCCCTATAATATCTAAATTCAAATTATCTTCTTTAACTGACCATTATCACTTTCCTCAGAAATCCCATTACATCTGCTACTGATTTTCACTCACTTCTTTCACTTATTAATTTTAAATTGTCTCTGATGACTATTCACCTTTTAACTCCTTTTTAAATTTCACTCTATATGACTAATTATATGTCAAACAAACTAATAAATAGATTAACAAAACTAGCAAATGAGGACCCCCTCATTCTTCTATAAATTCAGTTGTAAACATTAATTCATAAGCTAGAAAATGTTGCTATATCACTTTGCCATATGTGCCATATATAGCACAATCTTGTTTTTGTAATAAAAATAAAATAAAAAATAATGAAACGTTGTTTATTTTTACCTGGGTAAAACTGTGATACATAATAATAACTCCAGTAATTGCTAGTCCATATGATATTAATGTAGTAAATAGTAATGCAAAATACCTAAAAATTACCAATTAAAAATTTGTTAAATATATTATTATTTAATATTAACATAAAACTTACCATCTTTTATCTTCAGTTTGTTCCCATTTATCCAGCCATGATTCAGCCAATGAATGTGCTGAATCTAAAACTTGTACAAATTGGAGAATAAGATAAATAAAACCTCCAATCATACCAAAAATCATCCATATGTGACTAAAGCTTCCTGGTGCAATGAAAAATGAACCAACAATACCAGCAAACACAATAAGATATTTCAAGCCCCAAAATCTAATTAAACAAAAATATTGTATTATTATTTTCTTATACGCAAGTTAAAACAAAATAAAATAAATGTTGTACCCATTTTGTATAGGAGCTCGTCCATCTTTAGAATTCTTCACACCAACCATAATAAATGACATGAGACAAAAGAATATAAACATGGCAAAACAAATTCTATAAACAGCCATGTAACCAACAGCATCTTTACAATCGATAGAAACACCAGATATATTATTGACAAAGTTACTAGTTAAACCGGAGTTGTGATCACCTTCACAAAATGGTACCTAGACATAAGACATTGATAACATTTACCGATCACTAGTAGTCAATACAAATAATCAAATTACTTTTTGTAAAAACGATTGTAGTCCAGGGGCGAGTGTGATACAGCATAATATAATAGCTACTAGTAACATAAGGCCGTACATCACTTTTGTCGATGTTGAATTACCACATGACGGGCAACACGCAAAGAGAGAGCATGCTGCTTGACCACAACAACATGCCAGCTTAAAAATATTAAAAATAATATGTTATAGTATTTAGATAGCTGAGGTACTGTGCACAATAATGATTAAAAATTATTAGTGACACTCACTTGACCAACTGTACACAATGAAAATAAAGCACCCATCTTTAAAGACGGTTGTGGTTTATAATGATTGTCGTAAAGTTACAATACGTGTCCGTAGTAGAAAAAATATAAGCAAAAATTAATTTCTAATACTGTCCAATTTCTAACTATCCGCTTTTATGAAATAGATAACTATAACAATAAAATAGAATGGTACGTCAATTGTTTTCTTTGTTTATAAATTGATAATTATTAATTAATGCGCAACTTTTTACCGATACTTACACAATAATATGATATAATAATATTTATTATTTACTTTAATGTCAATAGATAATATACGAGTATATTCACTGATAAGATCATACTATATATATAATCCTAGAATATCATTTCAATATGGAAGAAAAAATGAAAAAAAAAAATGAATAAATTTACAATTATTTACAACAGGATATAATATTAAGTCATATGAGACATGAGTGATGTGTCATAATATGATATATACGTGCCCACTGTCCAGAACTCCAGGCCCCAAAATATGAACATCAGACTGACGAGTGACGAGTGAGTAACTAGTGATGACAGTTGTTCGGTTCTTTCGCCAATAATCGAAATCATAAATATTATCTCTGCATTATGATAGTGAAACCTCTAAATACCGGACACCCTTGGTCACCGTAATTTAGTCCGTTATTTAGAGGTGTCCACTATTCAGAGAAAAGGGTTAAATTCTTAAAAATAACTAAAATTAATAATTACATATGTACAACATTTATTATTGATATGTGTATACATATATAGGTATAATATTTATAACAATGATATTTGTATACAATATTATACATTTGTATTATTTTAATGCAAATATTAATTGTACATATTATTATTTATCATTTAAAATTATTATAATATGTATTAATATATTATGTATTGTGTATGAAAAAATAAGTAAAAACGTAAAAAAAATAAAAATTAATATTTATTGAAAAAATTATTTACTTTAGTTTGTTTAAGACCTCAATGGGCTTGATGCATAGTCAATTTAGGAATTTTAATTTTTTTTTCAAACTTAATCTCTTTCGTTTACTAGCCATTACAATACGTTTACGAAACATGTTATGTTACTCTAACACATTCGAAATTTCGAATACGATGGAACCACAAACACATTACACAACTAAATACAAGTATAGAATAACTTTACAGAACATAATCTAGAAAATTATTTTCATCGACGCGATAATGAACGGGTAAGGTAAACTATAAATGTTTAATAATTTATAATACATAGTAGTAAGATTAGATTAAATTGGCATTCACAATTATTCTACATTTACGATAAAAATTGTCAAAATCTAATAATTGCTATAAAAGTTTCCGTTATATAGAATGTCCGATATTTAGGGATTTTCTTATATGAAAGTAGTAAAAATATTCCCGGGCCCATAAAATTATCTATTATCCGGAAGTGTCCGTAATGAAGGTTTCACTGTACTTGGGTAGTACACTGGAACATCATACATCTGACATCAGTACATCATAAATCAGCATTATAATTAATGATAATGTATTAATGTTAAAACTTAAATGTTAAGTATCACCAAATTGTTTTGGTTCAACTATTCAACAACCAAGATGAAAATTAACTGAGAATTTCATTTACGTTATAATTATAAAATTTTAATCTCTAGAAATAAAGATTGAAAGAATTAAAAAGAAGTTGAAACTAGAAATATGTTACAAAATTAAAAATAAAAATAAAACATACTAAAGCTTAACATACTGATTTAATCCCATAATATGATTGGTTTGACCGGTATTTTTATTTTAATTTTATAGTACCTAGCCAATAGGTGCTATGAAAAATTTCTGGTTATAAAAACAATAAAACAATTAAAAATTAAATATTTTATGAGAAAAAAAACATAAGAACATAATTCTTGGAAATTGCCTTAGTATTTTTTAGCGGTTATCAAAAATTCAAAACTAAAAACGATAATATACATTATCACGAATGTATATAGGTGTTGTCATAGAATTGATAATATTATTATTATTATTTATTATTACCATTACATAACGCTTAACTAATAGTGACTTATAAATTATAATAGTACTTAAGTAGGTACGTTGTATTTGCATAATGATAAATATTAACAAAACCTATATTGGTTATATCGTTTGATCAATTGTATTTTTACATACATTCGATATTCGCCACAATTTAGCACGTATTAATGTATACTGTCATAGACATATTTATTTACCTATAATTAATATTACACTCATCGCAAACAATGCAATATGTTTACGAATTACAATTAATACAATTTAATGATATGACGAGATACCAGTTTTATAATAATAATAAATAATAGTTTATTATTATTCAAAACGCACAAATCAGTGACTATTTCCTGTACGCACATCTTGCCGGAAGGTGGATAAGCGCCAAACGGAAGATGACACAACTATGCGGTCATCATTGACGGCTACCACTACGCCACGTACGAATTTCTATTTATATACCTCCATCATAATAATTAACGCATATGTTTATTATAATGATATAATAATAAATTTGTATCGTATACATATTGCAGTATTTGGTTTCGGGAAGTGTCGAAGAAATATCAATTTTGATCAATTATTCTATCCTCTTCCACAGCAACAGTTGTAGCACACACGTCCAGCATGCCAAAAGATAGAGTATTAGTTTTGGGAGGTAATTGAAATTTTTTTATTTTATTTTAAGTTTCTTGTTAAATTTATTCACAATTTTTAGGTTGTGGCTTTATTGGCCGTCACTTAGTCAAGTATTTAGTGGACAATGATCTAGCGTCGGCTGTGAGAGTAGTTGACAAAGTTCCACCCCAAATTGCTTGGCTCAACGACGACCACAAGGTAGCATTCGAATCTCCCATAGTAGAATTTATCAGTGCCAATTTGATAAATCAAAGTAAACTTGTCATTTATACATTACTTTTATTGAAATAAATATCAATACATATTTGACATCAATTTTTGCAGGTTCTTGTGAAAATGTTTTTGAAGGTTTCTTTGATTATGCCATCAATTGTGCTGGAGAAACTCGTGTTGATTTACCAGATGTTATCTATGAAGAGGGAGTCTATAAACTCAGCATGAATTGTTCTCGAGCTGCTGCTAAATTTGGTGTGAGACGTTATGTCGAAGTGTCATCAGGTCAGTTGACTGCTAGTCATAAAGGACCAATTAAAGAGGATGACAAAGTAATACCCCTCACATCCATTGCAAAGTACAAGTATGAAGTAGAAAAACAAATGAAAACTATTCCAAATTTAAATTATACGATTGTCCGGCCAGCTATTGTGTATGGCATAGGTGACAGAACTGGACTCAGTACGTCTATGCCAATGTGATATTGACTATTAGTATTTAATCAATTTTCTATTACAGCACCAACTATTGCAATTGGCTCTTTGTATCGAGGACTGGGAGAGCCTGTCCGAATATTATGGAAAGGTAGTACATCTTGTAACACAATACATGTTGAAGACATTTGTAGAGCTATATGGCATTTGTTAAAATCACAAGAAGCTGTAGGGGAAATTTACAATTTAGTAGACAGTGGTCAGACCAAACAAAATATGATTGCTGAAATTGTGTCCTCATTATTTGGAGTTAAACATGAGTTTCTTGGCTCAGTTCTTTCGTCATTATGTAAAGTATGTTAACTATTATTTATTCTATTTCAAAATACCAATATAATATTTTAAACACAATAGATGTTTTTATTTTAATGTTTTCTTTAAGAATGATTTTGATGTTATTGCGTCTGAAGCAAATGACAAACATTCAGTACCGTGGGCTGAAGCTTGTTCTAAGTCTGGTGTTCATAACACTCCTCTCTCACCATTCATTCATAAAGATCACTTGAACGGTTATCGTATTGAAATGAGTGGCAGTAAATTAATGAATACTGGCTTCATATTGAAACATCCAAAGATTACAGTTGAACTACTAAAAGAGGTTAGTATAAGTTTAATATAAAAAGAACAAGTGATAATTTTTAACAGTATTTGTTTACAGGTTGTTGATGACTATATTAAAATGAATATATTTCCTAAAACATTGCTAGACTAAAGGTGTTGAAAGTTACCATTTCATTAAGCACAATTTATTGTCAACTTCATTCTGTGATATATTTTTAGTTATTACCATTATTTAATATTTAATTACATTGATATATACAAATTTATGAAACAATTACTAATGTTCATCAAATGAGCTTTTTTATTATATAATTGATTTACTCATACTTATCTTTTGGGTATTAGGTATTTGTTTTAAATTATATTCATATATTTATGCTGTGTTAAGTGGGCCAAAGATTAAAAAATAAATTGAATACACAAGTACATTATTTTATTTGTTGGTTATTATGACATGTTTTACATTTATGAAATGGGTATAAAGTTTTTTATGCTAATCGAAAGTACCTATGTACACAATTAAGCCACAATAACTTAATTCATCGATTGACAACAAAACATTTCTTAAACATTTAACAATTTTAAATTCTGTGCTATTCTACGAAAGAAAGATTCTTGCATTTCTTCAGTTATTATCATCATCCATTTTTTTAATAAAAATAGGTTTAAATTAATTAAAACTCAAACAGAATATTTTACATTTATTTTCGTTTAAAACAACAAACCATTACTGTTTTGATTTAAAATAATATATAGGAAAAAATAACCTTTCATGTATATATGTCAACACAAATATATTAAGTCATTTAAATAAACCACTTTTTTAAGTATAACATATACCAGGGGTGGCCAAACAGTCAATCGCAAATCATTTCAAAGTTGATTGTGTTAAAATTTATTTTTAAGCTACGCACAGAAAAAAATTATAGCGATATAGAAACTTAATAATAAAAAAAAAACTTTATCAAAGGTTAAGTATATTCTAAGTACACCGTGGCCAAAAAGAATTTGGCCGTCTCTAACATATACTGTATACTTATCTTGCAGTTATAACCGTTGTAGGCAGTGATTCACAGACTTTTA